GGTATCAGGAATTCATTTCTCAAATTTACCACAGGATTTTAATCAACCCTTGTTTTTTGCTCCTTTAAGTTCTGAGAAAGTGTAACTTCTTGGCAAAAGAGCAGCAGACCTGAAAACACACAACTAGATGAATTATGTGAAGGTGACTTACATGAAAATGAAACAGGAAGGACTGATTGGAAGTACTTGGTTTTGAAGGGAATGAATAAACAAATATTTCTACAACAGCAAACAAGATTTCTGGGAATTGAGAGGAAATGCTCAAAGAAGGGGACATGGTAAGTACTCTAAATAATTTCCAAACCTATCATAGTTGGAATTATTGAACTAGAAAGGTTATGCCCACCGCAGTGTTAGTATTTTCAGTCTGCAAGTCTTTAGCATTACGACTCTCACTGCAAAAATTTGGCCAATGTCTCCTAAAAATGCAAATATTCACAAGACTCTCAGAATCTAGTTTGCATATGGCCCCTTCAAGATCAGGCATTAAAAAAATTTTACAATCACTACCATCAGATGGGAAAAACACTGAGCCTCTTTCAAGAGAAGAAAAACACAATCAAAGTTCATAAAATAAGCATTATTAGAGAAACATGAGGCACATTTTGAGTAGTTATAAATGCAATTATTTGGAATCAAAGAGAAGTATATCTCCTGTGAAACTAAGTTTCCAATGGAAGCAAACATTTTCCCTGGCATACTAACAATTGCTGTAGAAGAATAGTACTTCCTACATCCTGCATTCTAGGAGTTGTTGGGAGACATACTGGTACTTTTCACAAAAGGTTATGCAAAGCACATCAAAATGAATCATCTAAATACTAGAGAAGATAAGATACCTATCACATTCCAGCAGCTCATGACTATTGTCACACCAGCTTCCTGCTTGTCCACAGGCTGTTCTTGAAAGCATCATAAACTTTAAAAGATGAGCTCCAGCCAGTGGAATTTTTATTCTGACTGGCCTTTCAGCAGTTGTTTTCATATTAAAGATAAACCAACCACTCTGAGTGAGTCTCAAAGAGACAAAAGATTAATTCAAGAGATTTTAAACTACTATTTATCATATAAATTACAGCCAACATCATGATAAAGCATTGGAAAAAGCATTAAAGACATGGGGGTAACTCTAGTTGTCTTAAATGCTGCTGCATCTACAAATGTGAGGCATGCTTCAGACACATAAAATCATCATGAAAAATAACTGCTGTAGGTTTTTAAGATTTTATTCTGATACACAGATCATTGACTGTTTTAAGAAGAATAAAAAAAAAGTACTTTGCTATAGACACATTTTGACACCAACTGCTTTGATTTAATTGTATCACAAATTTCTGAGTATTAAAAAAAATCTATTCAAAAATTTTTTGATTATGTTTTTCACCATGTATTTTCACAAAGCACATGAGTAAAACCACAAGATCACAGCTGATGTTCATTTTCAGAAGGCATCAAAGGTTTGTGTCTCAGAAAAAGATGAGGATGAAATTTGTGATTTTCCAACTTGTAAAGAACTGATGTTTTCTACTGGCATTTTCTGATATTGTTAAAACTCTGGAAAAGTAAAACTGACAAGCACAGCTTTCCTAAATATTCAGTATATGACATGACTGATTTCTGGCACAGAGAAAAAGAGCACTCTTTGTCCTGTTCATTGATGGAGGACACCACGACACTGGTGTCCCTAAATGTGCCACAAGAATGTGCCTTTTTGCTTTGTGAAATGTTGACATAATGGAATCACAGAATGGCCTGGGTTGGAAGTGACCTCGGAGGTCATCAGGTTCCATGCCATGGTCAGGGACACCTTCTACTATCCCAGGCTGCTCAGATCCCCATCCAGCCTGGCCTTGGACACTGCCAGGGATGGGGCAGCCACAGCTTCTCTGGGCACCCTGTGCCAGGGACGCAGCACCCTCACAGGGAAGAATTTCTTCCTGATATCCAATCTAAACCTGCTCTCTGTTAGTGTGAAGCTATTTCTGTCACTCCAGGGCCTTGTCAAGAGTCTCTCTCCATCTTTCCTGTGGGCTCCCTTCAGGTGTTGGAAGGCACCAATGAGGTCACCCCAAAGCCTTCTCTTCTCCAGGCTGAACAATCCCAATTCCCTCAGCCTTTCCTGCCAGCAGAGCTGCTCCATCCCTCTGATCCCCTTGATGTCCCTGCTCTGTCCTGGCTCCAGCAGCTCCCTGTCCTTCCTGTGCTGGGATCCCAGAGCTGGAGGTAGCCCTGAAGGTTGGGCTCAGGAGAGCAGAGAGGCAAAGGAGCAGAATCCCCCTTCCCCTGCTCCTGAGGAAAAAGGCAACCTTATTAAAATACTAGTAACATTTTTCTGCTCCTTTAAACAAGACTGTCTACATTTAACAGCATTTTCTTCCCCTGATCCCTACACCACTTTGGATATGGGAGTGTATCTCCTTGGGAAAACCAGCAGTCCTAGAGGCCGTCACCTGGGCCGGAACCATTCCAGTGATCATCATCCAGGATGCTGCCTACAGAGAGCTGGTTTGCTGACAAGCCTGACACACAATGATCAAATAGCAACTGCAGGTATTTTTCCAGCTGGAAACTGGGATAAGACCATGCAATGAGGTCTTTCACTTCTTTCCCCATCCTGGAAAACACAACCTTGCACATTGAACATTGTCAGCAGGATAGCACCTCTCAGGACAGGATCTTAACTTGCACCTCCACCTGATATAATTAAGCTTCAAAATCACAAACTTCAATAAACTCTAACAAAAGGTTAAAGACAAACAGAAAAAAACAGCTTTTCCTCTATCTCAAAGACATTTTTGTGATGGAGGGACATGGGAATTTAGGGGGAAAACGAGAGTAAACAGAAGGCCTGACAAAGGAGTTATCATGAGATAATCTTGTTGGTGTGGAACTAGAAATAAAACAGCAGAACATTTAAAAGGAATGGCAAATGAGCACCAAAAAACTATGTGGTTTGACAGTTTTACACAGGTTTAAAAGTTTGAAGCCAAAATACTGCTTGTAAGGCACAAATATTTGAAGGGAACAAAAAAGGAAGCGATTTTTGTGTTGAGTGTATACTTGCACTTTGAGATTACTGCTGCACCAAAAAAATTCTTTACAGTGATACAAACACTCACAGATCTCCATGTAAAGGTGGCTATGCATGTACAGCCCATAACATAAAACAGCAATGAAATCTGTGTATAAATATCAGCAGTAATTTCATCAAACACAACTGTTAGCATATAACAAAATCATTTGAAGAAAAAGAAGTGTGAAAATAAACACACAAAAATACATTTAAAAATAGGTGTGTTCAAAAAAGAATAAAAAACATACCACCCATTTCTCAGATCTTTCAATAAAGTTTTATGAGTGAATAAAATCTTCCAATATAAATAGTATATAATTAAACCTGATAGCTCAACCACAAGCACCCACACTTGTCTATTAGATTAGGCTTCAAAATCCCAGTGTTACATTACAATCAGAGGTGAAAAACTTCAATTGTATTGAATGAGAAATGACTTGGAAGTTAGTGAACAAAATTTACACTTTTTCTGGGATCCAAAGGGGTATTAAATGCAGACATGATGTGAACTGGGCACTGTGTTTTGTCGTAACCACTCCCTGTCCTGTGACCAAGAACATTTTTTTACATTGTTGGGTTCTCCCCAGGTAAAACTGAACCTCTTCAACATGTTTCCACACTTCTGTCCCATTTTTGGGGTTTTGATGCAAATCTGACTGATCACAGGCACAAGTTATTGCTCAGTCTGTAAGAACTATCCCAAAAAATCTTCCTGTGAAATTTCTGTATTTCATGAGGTTCATTTCTTTTTAACATTCAGAAAGTGATATGAAGTTAGCAAACAATGTGTTCATTTCAAAAACACAAAACATTTTTTTAAAAATTCATTTTTACTTGCTCTTTGACAGAACTTTATAGCAAACATTAAATAACTGCAATTCTGTGCAATAATCTCACTCATGAAACAATCAGTTTCTCCACATTATGACATCTTTCCTTCATACTGTTTACACAGATGCTTATGTATTTAATACACATTTGCACTAGGTGTTCATTGATATGGTTAGAACAGTCAAATGGTCATAAAACACTTCTGGAAATAGTGGAGTCCTTCAAGGGGACTTTTGATGTATTTAGAACTAAGATACTCCAAGAAAATTTTAAAAAATTATTCTCTGTATTTTTTGCAGAATCCTTGCTAACAGTACTTAAAAGGTAACTTAGTTGCAATATAAGTGACAAAAGGGGGCTCTTAACAAATTAACTTCTTTTTAATGGTTTTAAATTTCCATGCTCATGGTCATTATTATTAGATTCAAGAGCTGCACTTCAGTCAAACCAAGATCTTACTGATAAAAAACCAGGCTGACACTGTTCAGAGACTCATCTCTAACTGCTCTGATCTCAAATACTTGCTGTGCAGTGTGCTTTTACTCAAGGCATGCTAAATGAGCCAATTTAGGCCATTAATGCACATATATATTCCTGGATATAACTCCTCATAGCTTTTTATTTTTAGGTAAGACTTGTATGAAATAAAAATAGGTGTGGACAACACATGTTTTCGTCTATTATCTAAGAACAATCTCAAAATTTGGACCAAAAATTCATGCAAATCCCACACAATTAAATCCTGCAGTTAACTACATAAAAGAAAAACAATTGAATGGTTTCTCCAAGACCACAGAAAATGGCAGCTGTTAAGAAGTAAGTATTAAGTTGCTCTGAGACATTTTCTCAGTGCTACACTCTCCTTGAATCTCTTCCAAGCAGGCTCCAGTGTCATAGAACGTTTTTGATCCCAACAGATGAAGAGTCCTTATTTATTTAGCATTTTTAAATACTTGTGTTTAGTGGCATGCTGAGGAAACAAGGTGAGAGATGGATCATTTTCTTTGGGGATCATACGTGTTAATATTTTTTTCAAACAGGAAAGAGTTGATACTAAGAGAAAATCATGGAAATTCTTGCATGTGCACATCCATACCTGAGCATCAAGGAGCTCCTGACATTTGTGAGAATGCTTTTCAATGGTTAATATATACTGCTTTTCAATAGCTGCTTCTTGCTGCTGAACTGTAGATTGTAGCAGTGCCTGCAAAAAAAAAAAGGCACAAAATACTCAACAAAGATATAACTGGGATGTTTATTGGTAACTGCAGATCCAATAAGACTCATCTACAACCAGAAGGTGGAATGCTGTTATAAATTTGAAATGTACAATGATTAAAGTACCTTTCTATGTAACACTACCTTGTTTTCAGTCATGACTAACATTTTTTGTATCTCAGATTTCTCATACAGTCTGCCTAAAAGACAGCAGCACACAGAAGATAGAGAGGGAGAGTATTTCTGTTAAATACACTCAGTTTAGTGGGACCACACAAGAAGAGGAGCATATGAAAGCTGCTGAAGAGAAGAAAAAAAAAAAAAAAAAAAGAAGAAAAAGCCAGACATATTTCCCTGGCTGACAAAACTCCACATCCTCTCGGCACTGTGTAAGATCCCATGGGCCAAGCATGATCTTCACAACCACAAGTCAAGTAAAAGCAGATGGAAATTCTGAGTAACATAAAACATAAAAGAATGCCCCCCCAGGATGTTCACACTTGAATGTGAAGCAGTGGAAGTCGAAGTGTGGAAAGTCAAAGCACCAAGGCAGTAACAAACAGCTGATGGGAGCAGGAGCTGAGTGTGTGAGCACGTGTTTGTGCACACGCCTGAACTCACACCCGCCTGGCTGAGCCCTGCAAAACCTCCAGCATCTCAATGCAGAAATAGAAATAAAAAACTTGAAGATACATGAAGAAACCAAATTATCATTTGGAGAATAACACTCAGACTTCCCTAAACAATGATGGTAGCTAAACATTTATCTGGCTCATGTGACTTAAGCCTTTTTCCCTGATAGTATAAAGTCATTTTTCCAAATATCCATTGGGCTATTTATACACAGTGTACCAAAGTATTGTAAACTAGTAATCAATATACTGAAGTAGTCAAAATGACTGGGTAAGTTAAAACAGACATGACTTTTACAGAAAACAGACCTTTGGCCCAAATGCAGACAAAGAAAAAAATCCCCATCGTTCAAACAGTCTTTATTTTAGAGATACATTTACTTCATGGAACATAACACACACATCAAATAAAATTTTGAATACTTTTAAAAAAACACAAGAATGTATAAAAAAGATAAAATCTTCTGACAATTTTTCAATTACCTTTCTAAATTTTCCACTAACTATCCTCCTATGCCAAAATCACTGCTCTTCAGTAATGTTGTACTATGGTAGCAGTTCTTGGCACAAGCTCAGTGATTAAAAAGGTTAAAATTTGTGCTTAATCAAAGTGTAAGAATACATTTACTGGTAGGTGCAAGGTATATAGCAAACTGTAAGTTTACTTTCAAAAAAGCCAATTTATCGCTAACTAAATTAAATTCTTTCATTCATAGAAATTTGAGCACTCAAAAAAACTGAACTCTCAAAGAAGTGCAACTTCTGTACATAAATCTTTATACTCTGCCTAAATTAGAACATAGAACATATCACTGGCAAAAATTCAGCCGGGACCTTGGGGTTTGGGTTCTTTCTTTGGCCTAAATTATTGTAGCAAGGAATGTTTCATGTAACCAGTACAAAAGAAAAGAAAATAATTCTGTTCTTAGGGAGCACAGTAACAGAATGGTTATTAGGCTGCCATGGCACTTCTCAGACAGTTTATTGCTCATGCCAAGGGTTGAGTCACTTTATGCACTTTGCTGTGCAGACTTCACTGGCAACTGCAAAAATCCTATTAAATGGTATAAAGAACTTTCAGTTTTCAATGAAATAAACATTATTCATTGGATTGCATGTAGAGGCTGATAAATTTTTTAAATTAACTTACTATTACTATTTTTCTTTGGAAAATACATAAAATTCCACATGCAGAAACAAAAGCCTTCCTTTTCTGTCATACTCACTCTTAATGCAGTTTAAATAGAACCACAGGGTTGATGCTGTATTTGACTGTTCCACTAGTTGGCCAAGTGAGGAGAAAGAGAGAAAAATCTCCTTCTGTAGCACAGAACTGCAGGTTTCTCAGTGGGAAATACAGCACAGATATGTGACACCCATCCAAATCTCTGGCAAATTTCAAGATAATCAACTACTCAAATTTAATAGTTTTAAAAAAAAAAAACTCCATCATTTACCAATTAGCTCATTTGCTAAACTGAAACACACATTTGGCTACTTGATGATTAGTATCTCTAATCTACAGATTATATATATATTATAGATTAGATATATATTAGATAGTTACAATGACAATGACACTAAAAGTCTTTTGATTAATTGCTATCCTGGGCAAATACTCTTATCACTGCTGAAACACGACTTTCTTCCTTAATTACTTAAGGGGGAGTTTTTAATTGTGCTACTGGCTGACATTCCATAAACCTACAGCCAATGACCAAATACCAAGCTGGCATTCTTGAAACAGACACCTTTTAATGGAATAATTTCAAGTAAGGTTACAGCAGAATCTAGCCTATGGCACCTGTTGCATCAAGTCCAGGGTAGGATTTCAATAGAAGTGCTCTTGTTAATTAATTTTTCCTTCTATATATTTTGCAATGAACTTCCTTGACACTGGTTGAGAAGGATCATCATAGAATCACAGGATCATAGGATTTTAAGGGTTGGAAGGGACTTTAAAGATCATGTAGCCCCAATTCCCTGCTGTAGGCAGGGACACCTTTCACCAGTCAGTGGTCCAGAGCCCCATCCAACCTTGGCTTCTTCCCCACTTTCTGATCTCTCTACTAACCCAAAAAAACTGTCAGAGAATTGGTGCTGCTTTTCCTTCAACAACCAAAACTTCATGGTGGCTTCTGACAGAACAAATAGAGTGAAACCCCTTAAGTTCTCTATAGGGTCGTCATTTTAGTTTGATATGTAATGCATTATAAAAATCACAGAAAAAAAGTTATTTCCGCAAACCATGATAAAAAAATCTTCACACATCTAAATGACTGAACAAAACATTCTTAAATTAAATTAGGCAAATTGAGTAAATTAGTCTGAACTCCTGTTTGAGCTCAGATAAAGAACTAAGCTTTAGGTTTCATACATTGAAATAATTTTAGAAGACCTTGAGCTGAAAGTAAATTCAAATATCATAATAAGATCCGTGATCACCCTGGGAGGTTCTTATGGGAAGACACATCTATGCCATGTCTTAGCACTGGTCAGAGTATTTAGCTCTGGAACTGACAGCACACTACCTGTGTGGTGGGAATCCTGGAGAACGGCATTCCTGCACACACACCAGGGACTGAAATACTGCACTATGCCCAATATGAAAAGTTTAAAACCACAAATGATCACAACACTTCATCCTGCATTTCTACAGTGTGTTATGTACTGAGTACCACATTATCTCTAAAATTTCTCCTCATACTTAAAAAGGCAAAAGTGCAGTATCTACGGTTTTGCCAAAAGTGGACACCCCAGCCTATTTTTAATACAAACCTACTTGCACAGCCCTAGTGCATAATGTGTTCATTCTACTGGCAATAGAAACCACAGCCCAGACAGAATTTATTGTAAGGCTAGAAGCTAAAATTTATGAGAAACCCTCTTGAATGAAATAGCCAAAATAAGACCGTTATCCCAATTCTTCCTGAATTCCCCAAGAGTAACAAATTACCAAACCCCTTTCTTTCAACTCCCTCTTTTTACTATAGGGAAAAGCTAGACAGAATAAAGGCAACAGGAAAAACAAAGATACAAATCATGGTACACACGTTGCTGGGTTATTTTTCAGAATGTTTCTTAAAAGCACTGTATCAAAAGCCATAGTCAATCCAAAAGATATCCTGATCAACATCGTTGGCTTGTTTAAGTAACTAAATGAAGCCAGTACATCAAACCACTTCTTTACTTCAAAACTGATGAGTCAGGATGACCAAAACAAGTCATTCTTAAAAATAAAAGTTACTAATGAGAACTGCTTACCACACTGCTTCAAACATGTGAACCGCATTAAATACAGCAATAGTACTTTGGAATTTTTATGCTTTATAGCATTAGACAATGATTCATCTAATTCAGCATCCTGTCTCCACCACTTAATAACTTGCTAGTATTTAGTTTAAGGGTGAAATGCAATTAACCAATTGCTGAATGATAAAACAGAGCAGAGGACACAATGCAAATTCTTTCCTGACCCGTGGAAAAGATGCATTAACTAAATAAAATGCAGTATTTGACTAGCTGGGTTTTAATTCAGCTATTAGCTAAGACAGAAATTATACAAATAAAACTATTTAGAAGATTTCTGAAAATGTCTTTTTCAAAAGAATTCAACTTATTCACTTCAGCCCAAAATATTGCAGATTTTCATGACTGGGCAATTTCCAGGTGAGCCTGCCTTTTTAATGAAAATGAAACATGTCAATTTAGGTACTATGGAATACGGGAGGTTAAATTAAAAAAAAAAAAAAAGGGATAATGTATTTTTTTGCAGTGATATAAAAAATTGAATTTTTTATGTGTTGAATATTTGTGGATATTTGTTGAATATCCACAAACATATTCAACAGCTTGTGGTTGAAACAGTGTTGATCCATACCAGTAAGGACCAACAGCTTACAGTTTGAATATTATGCTGGGTTTATCTAGATAGCTCAGTTTTACTGGTATGTGAGGGCAAAAGATTTATTTTCCACAAAACAATGTTCTCACAGACTCATGCCAGAAACAAACTGCAAACTCCCTCTTAATCTTCTATTAACCTTCCAGTTTTTATAATATTTAACACTCTATTTATTATTCTATAGTCAGAAGAACATACAAAATTGATCCTTACTAGAAGGGGAGGGAAAGATTCATTGCAATTTTTATAATTGCTTGCAAAATGTAAAGGCCTTTTAATTAATAATAAAATATTTTTGATAGCCAGATCTCTGAAAGTATGAGACTTGATTGCACCTTGTTATTATTGAAATTCTGTAGAGAGACTTCCGTGGTAGCATCAATGTTGTACAGAAGTACTCTTATACTGTAAAATCCCAAGGAATCTCTTGTTTCATGGAGAGCCACCAGCTCTCCATGAGAAAAAACAATGTTGTTTTATATTCTAGGCTCACTTGAATTCTAGTTTGACTTGCACATGAACAAGCACAGAAGTTGGAAGTGAAATATAAGCCCTTGCAACAATTTTGGATTTGTCCTTTTATTCATGTGTCAGGCCTTTCTGAGCCAGGATGTCAACTTGGAAACTTAATAAGCTAAGCTGATGTTTAAAAGAGCTGAGAACTGGCCACATTTCAGAGCTTTCCCTCACTAGGGATAAACTATGTCTAAAAAAAGATATCCTGATTCTAGATTAACTTCTTTTGTAATGAAATCCTTTAAAATTTCTTTCGTTTATTAGAGGGTAACCTTTCAGTTCAGAGGTGTATTATTGGCACAAATATTTTTGAAAGAAAATCTGATGGCCCCCACATATTCCATGCTTTGAAAATCTGTCTGTTCTTGCATTCTGAAAATCTGAAAAAAAAAACATCACCTTACACTGAAAACTGGTGGACAAAACTCTTACTGCAGCAAGGGCTGGGAAGAACTTTGCACCTTGGAATCCATTTCTATAAAGGGAACACACATCTGATTCATGCAGGTTGTCTTTTTGAACACTATTAATTGCATAAAATAATCTAAGAAAATAAAACCCATCAAATAAATACACCTGCCTGTAACCTCATATTCTTTAAAGCTTACATTAGAGGATGTTTCATAGGATGAGAAATAAAACAGATTAAAACTATTAACTCATCTATCTACAGAACTGTGACAATTTCAGAACAAAAGCTTGACTAAACAAGCACAGGAGAAATTCTTACGTTGCTTGTGGTAAATATCTTAAGATGTGATGTGATCCCACAAGCAAAACTTCCAAGATCTACATTTACTTTTCTTTACCGTGGCTAATTACAAGGGATAAAAGTTTAAAACAACAATGACATGAAAGACAGAAATTAAACAAAATTAGGTAAACATGAGAAGGGGAAACTTGGCCTACACAGAACACTGCGTTAATTTTTAATTTGCTTTCCTGTGGTTTTTAATACAGATTTTGTGACTGTGTTGTGGATGGTTTATTTGTTGTAAGGAAGATCAGAATGTGAGATGCTTAACAATGGCCAAGGCTTTTGAGGGTTTGTGCTACAAAGCATCTAATGGTCTCTATTAATGGATTTCCAAACACATTCAACGAGTGGACATGCCAAAGACAACTGAATTTAATTCTAAGGGCTTTGGTATATCCAGGTCCCTGAAAATAGGTAGTTCAATATTTGACTTCTTGTGTAAGCTGCATTTTCAGCACTGCTGCCATATTAAGAAGGACCAGTCAGGAGTAGGAATTGAGGGGGTTTGTCCTCAAACTTGAGTACCTGTCTGCCCAGGGATACCACACTAATGGAAGATCCATGTGGAGAAATACTGTCCCTTTTGCAACAAATAAGTCCCCAAAATGCAGGAGAGGGACTAGAAGGAAGTGTAAGCCATTTGGAAGTACAGGAAGATACATCAACAACAGAGGTCTGCAGCAGGACATCTGGAAGGAATGGACTTAGTTCTGAATGAAAGAAAACTGTGTTTTTCTGGTTACCAGCTTGGCAGCACTGGACACAGAAGCTACAAAACAGCAACTCTCTCCACCTCAGTAAACCAAAAGGAAGGCATGTTTACAAATCCACCAACAATAACACTCACCTATGCCAGGAATACAGAAAAGACAAGTCAGTCCACTTTCTTCCACTGTTCTTCCACTCAAGGTTTCAATAAAAGTTAAATAAAAGTTACAGGACTTGGGGTTTGAGGCATTCTGGGGATTATTTCCTGGCACTAAGGGTGAACTGCTCATATTTTCACAAACTATCCTTAAACAACCAATTTGGGCATTATAAGTTGTGCTATGGCTCTGCTTGGAGCAGCACCACAGAACTATAATGGATTGGTTTCAGGGAGGATTAGTCAGAATTCCAACACTCCTGACTGCAACACAACCTAATTAGGGTCTGAGCAATCCCCTGATTGGAATAACCCTCATCAGTTCACTTTGTTAAATCCCCAGGAATGTAAAACAAGCCTGTTTTCATCGCAAACAAGATTTTCCTTCCCATGCCTTTTTAAATGACCCATAGACTTATTTAGGTGAATTTCCACACTCGAGGTAACTTGGGGATTAATTAGATAGTACTTACAAAAAAACTACTGAAAATGGAAGTTACTTCTGCATATAAACAATATGTATTAGAGTGAAACAGTCTGAATCTAAAGAAGACGTATTTCAGCACAAAATTAAGTCTGGCTAATCATGAGTAATTTAAAAGAGTTAATGAATCTCACGATTCTGTCTTTCACTAAAAGGACTAATCAGATTTACTTTACATTCCTAAACAAATGCTACATTAGGAACCCTTATCTGGTTATCTAATTGCCATCTGAAATTATTATCTAATTTTAAATTGTTATCTAATTTTCATATCTGAAAAAGAGAATAAACTCCTAAGGATCTGAGCAGTTAAAAAGCTTCAAGAATGTAAGATACTACTTTTATAATTACAAAGCCAGATTTGACTCGTTTACTTAGGAAAAAATAAATCTTAGCCCTGTTCCATATTGAAATATTAACAATGAATTAGCATTTTAAAAGAATCTATGAGATAATTTTCTCAAACAGAACTACAGAACAGATTTTGCCTCCACTGATGATACAGCGTTACTTTTTTTATTTAAAGGACATAGCAAAGGATTACAAGAAAGGTATTAAACAAACAACCAAAACGTGCCTGGGTTTTTTTAAAACCCTAATGAATAAGTCACCTCATGTTTGCAGACAGGGCTGATTGCAGTTTACTCAGAGCTTGGCATATCTGATAGTATTTCTCATCAGAGTGTTCAACTAACCACATGAGGACACAGGAAGGCTTGTAGGAGGTGTATTCATGTCATGGTTCCATGGTACTAAAGAGGGACTTTATGTAACTTGAATATAAACATTCTATGAGAAATAATACACTGAATATAAACATTGTTTAGAAACATAGGGTTCAATTAACTCCCTAATCTTTTGTGCCAAATCACTGAAACTGATAAACATAAATCTTATTTTGCAGAAGGCATGTCAGACATACCCAGCCGCTGCTGACTGGTAAAACAGCTTTCAGAAATTATTATGGTATGTAAATGTATCCCTTTACCCAACTACACAGGAAGAAATTATTCCTTTAAAGGGCCAATATAACCCATGCAGAGATCTCCTTTATAAGTTCACACAAATCAATTAAAATGGTGAAAAATTACACCTCAAAAACATTTAAAACTTTCATTCAACACCATAAAATCGTTGGATTTCACAATTTGGTTATATTTTCAGAACTAAAAAGAAGGAAATGTAAGTGTAGCAATTACCAAAAGCTCACAAGCTTTTTCAAATGTAAGTCCACACAGGAACAGACAGACATTTTACATGTATCTAGAACAAAACAGAAACTAAAAATGCTGCCACTGAAGATGTTCCATCCAAAGGTGCACACTCCAAATACAATTCCCTTTTGAGAACTACCAAGGCAATAGAGTCCTCAAAGAATTAAGGGAAGAGGAGCAAAATTCTGCCCCAGAAGTGAAATGAGGGAGGCATGGAGAAGTGGGACACCACCAGTGGCCATGTTTAAGATCTCTCAGGAATGGAAACTTTTAAAATGTTTTTCTGGATAGGTTCAGAATGAAATTACTATAAGTCATATTGATGGAGACAGACATATTTCTACAGAGAGCCAATTTCAATATTAGTTAGAACACTATTAACGGTTACTAGCAAGATATTAAAAGGCTTTCCTATTATCATAAAATCATTAATATTAATATAATCATCAAGTCCAACCCCTAACCTAGCACTGCCAAGCCCACCACTACATCTTCCTGCCCTCCATGCCAGATCATTCTTTGGTTACAAATTACTGCTACCAAACAGTTAAAATCTGAAATTCCCCTTCACTAACTCCATTGTCAGATTTGTGTTCTCAGCTCACAGTTGCCTACCAGGTCTTAAGTTTCCCTTTTCATTTTCAAAACCAGCCTTAATTTCCATTTCCTATTACCAGTTTTAAGTCTAATTAGAATTCTTAGCTTTACCTTCTCCTCCTAACTCGATTCAGTTTTTGTCCTTTGTGAGTTTCCTACCCAATAGTTTCCATAACAGAACGAAAGACACAGATTTATGCTCCATGGTAACATCCAGTTCTTTTCTTTTACAAGCTGACAGGAACTAAAACAGAATGAAAGAAGAACTACAGATTCAGCTTTACTTTATCCAGAACTCCTTCCCTTAGTGCTGTGTGGATAAAAACCTGCTGAACTGCTCTGTGATGCTGCTTTCCTGCAAGCGCAGCTCTGGAGACAGAAGAGGTCCAAAATGTGGATTTGTGATAAACAATCCAACCCAAAGTTTACCACAACTGACTGAGAATGTTTGGTTTGTTCTGGTTTTAAGTTTCCTTACTGAAAATGGCTAACCAACTCTATCTGAAGTTTTCCAAAGTGCAGACTGGGAAAACATATCATGCAAAATTTCAGACCAAACAATCTAAATTGAAAGCAACAGAAAAGACAGTGAGAGAGGTCGAGCAATCAGCACAAGCAATACTAATAATTGCGCACTGCAGGCAGTCATCCTGTTCACAACTACAACAACACCATTTGGAAACTGTGCTAGCTTGGCAACTCATTTACCTTGAATTCTTCTACAATAATAGTTAAGGCTTCATGTCCAGCTTTTCTCATGTCTTCTAATTCCTGTTTATGCTTTTCCTGTACAAAAATACAGAAAACATTAGGCACATGACATAACAATTTTAATTCAGGAGAATAAGTAAATAAAGTAAGAAATAAATGTCAATTATTTTCCTGTTTTAGTATCTTTCATGAAGAAATGCACACAGCTTGATCCTTTAGATATTATATATATATATAATGTATATTAATATATATGTGTGTATATATCTATATGCTAAATTCAAGTAGGTCCAAGTACTAAACTTATTTTTACTTTTTAACTTTACTTTATAGACCCCAGATGGTTCTAAATGGTTCTCCAATTTATTTTTTTTTCAGAAATTTCTTTGTTTTTTGGTATACCTGTGGATGACAGGACTTCCAAATGACCTTCTTAGTAAAGGTTATTTACTGCCTCTACCAATAAAAATGTTGAGATAAAATAGTATCAAATTGACTTTCCTCAGAAATGCACATTTTCTCCTACTTATTATGGGGCTCTTCTTTTATCATTTGTTTTATTCGTTAAGATTCCCAGGAAAGTCTTCTTGTAAAAGAAAACCTATATAGATTTTTCAAACAAAGCTGCATTGTTCACTTTTTATTTTCTGCACAGTTATGTAAAAGGAACCTGGAGAGAAACATTCTAGCATTTTTTTCCTTTATCTAATAGTTTGCTAAGGCTGCAATGTGAAGACCTCATTGGATTTTCACCAGCATTTCCCCCTTATCAATGAGCAGCACCACTTTTTCCAATCATCAATTAGTAAGAAGATGAAAAACATTCCCTCCCTCCTTGTTCTTTGCTTCAGGGTCTGTTCTTGCATCAGCTCATATGGCAGGATGTAGTTGCTTTAAATCATCTTGGGTTTAAATCATTGGATTTTCTTGGTGCAGAAAGCAGAAACACATTAATCACAAATGTTACTTTGCAGTGATCATAGGACACATTTCATACAAGTAAACATAATTTAGGACAAAACCATACACAACTTACACTATATAATTTTTTGCTTTTTGGGTCATAATAAAGTTGAAATTAATTAATAGAATTCTATGCTTCCTAAGACCTGTGTGTTTGGAACAAGAAAAACCTGTTGTCTAACAAAGCATGTAAGACCATTAAAAATTAATTAATCAGACTGTAACTGTATTTAACTAGAGATTTTTGCTCTCACTCAATTCCTTCCTTCTGAAAGAGTCATTCTTAGCAAAAACTAGGAAACTACAGCTACACGATCCTCTCACCTCTAGCCGAAATCTAATGAGACATTTGCATTTTCTTTAATAAAACTGTGGGCTTTTGTGAAGCCCAGCAAGAACAACTGCTAAGTAGAAGAATTACAGATGGAAATATTTTGCTGTGCACATTAAATACTACATCAGACAACAACACACAACATGTGGCTACATCATTTTAATCCCACTGTGATGCAGTAATGTATCACTGACAACACAAATCATTCAAACTCTGACACTATACAGGTTAAAAAACCCCAATTGTTTTGACTGAGGAAGTAAGACATCCCATTCTGGTAGAAAGCACAGTGCCTCTCACTCGCAGTACCAGGCAAAGCAAAACACAGAGCAAAAAATGCCATTTGTCCCTTTATAATCAATTCCTCAAGTTTTTAGAACCAGGTGACTTGTTCAAGGTCATGTCCTAAATGTGAACTGGTAACACAACTTGAAGCATCGACACCAAGGCATTCCTGTAACACCTGTAAATATTCTTCTATTCCTGCAGGAAAAGTTCAAGGCAGGTATCTGAGCTGCTGCTGACTGCCTGTGTTCTGTAAGGCTGTGGTACCCTCAGAGGTAGCTGCCAGTCTGAGCCAGTATCTCAGAAAGTAATGCACTCTTCATTTCAGTTCTCGTGCAAGAAGGCAAACTGTAGCTCCCTGCAGGTAGCTGAAGTAGAAGACAAATTTTAAATCCATCTTATGCAGCTTTGTTTTACACAATCACATCATTAAAAGTCCTCACAATGGAGTCCACTACGCTGAAATTTTTGTCTCCATAAAACCAACTCTTCCTTATGAGCATCATTTAAAAAAAATTACTAATAACACTTAGCATCATAACGATTCTGTTAAGAAACGCTAAGTTCTTATTTGAAGACATAAATATTTCCTTCAAATCACCCAAGTACAGAGAAAAAATAATAGCAATACTGAATGCAAAGGAGAAATTGAGGTAAACATGATGAGAATCAGTCCATAATGGCAAATTAATGTACACACTAGAGTGTGCTATTGTGTATAAAATAGAGATTGGTCACTATTTCTGTCCACGTGAAATAAGAATGTGAGCTCTACAGAACTAAGACATGGGAGCATCTCCAGGTCTCTAGCAAAGCAAGTATTTTCACTTTGGTCCTATCATCAACATCCTAGTGAAAGATACAGCTAAGAACCTAAAGATAAGGAAAAATACAGGGAGGAGAGAAAGATTTCAGATATCCCAGGATAACCAAAACCCCCACATTATACACAACCTTCAGCTCACCACAGGAAGCAAGGAGACAATGATTCATACGAGTAAACATAATTTGTACCTGAAGCATAACAATGGAAGACTCTGAGGTGAAAAATGAAGTGGGGTAGCAAATGAACTTTCACAAACAACTGCCTAACATTGTGGTGGTGAGGACATTTCCTGCTGAGTTAGAAATGAGTTGAGCCAGAGTTGAGTGAGTGTGAACAGAGCAGCCTGCTGAGAATACTATGACTGATTAAATGTGAAAAACTATGCAAAGGAAATAGTATGGAAGAGCCTGCACATGCCCCACACTGAAATATAATTACAGTTCCCACTCTCTGAGTATTTGAGGTGTATAACAAGGATCTCTACCCTGTCACATTTAAGACATTAATATTTTGTGAAGAACAATTATAGTTTATCTCTGCTCTTTCTTCTTCCCTAGAGGATGTGCATACAGAGACCCTCCACTGAAGAAGATATTAAGCAATAAAAAGAAGTGCTAAAGCTAAAGTGTTTTTAGTACGAAAGCACATTTTACTACCAAAACTGCATGATATGGTAAACAGCACCTACACTTGGCTCAGGAAGCCTTCCCTGGCTGCCTTGAGGTTTTTAAAATATTACACAGATAATTCGTTGGGATGAAGCCACAAATGTGCCAGGTCAACTTATGCCCTGGATAGTTTCCTACTTCCCCACATAATCTAAATGGTGAGGCAGGATAGCAAGAGGAAGCAAGGAAGGAGGAGTGAACAGGAGAACAATGCCAGGGAATCTGACAAGAAGAGAGCATTTCCATTAAACAACACAGTAAGCATAAAAGGAATTCTGAGCTTCAATAGGATATTTGTATGTCTCTTATCTCAAATGCATCAGTCTTCAGATCAAATTAAATTCCACCATTGTCCGTAAAGAACAAAATATTAATTTGGAAAGTGTTGCAGGGTGCCATCAATGGCTACTGATACTGAAACCAGTTGTAACACCCAACACAACTTTACATGGTGAATGTATTTAAAAATATATCAGTATTTATGTAATTATTTACTGTAATACACTTCATGATACATATAGATATGTATGAAAAAACTACACTAGGAGAGTTTTCCTTCTTTCTGTAGATAGGAGACCTGCACATTGCAAGGGTCTGGAAAAAAGGGTAGCTTAGTGAAAGAGGATCATGTTAGGAAATACTTAAGCAAGTTGGACATAATTAAGTCCATGATGCCTGACAGGATGACCCCACAAGTGCTGAGGGAGCTGGCAGATGTAATTGTGAGGCTCCACTCAATACCTGAAGGCTGATCACAATGACTGGAGAAGTGTCTGAGAACTGGAGGTAGGAAATGTCATCCCTGCCTTCAAGAAATGACAAGAATCCACAAGGAGCTACAGGCTAGGCAGTCGCAACTCAGGACCGGAGAAGGTAATTGTGCCAGTTTTTCCTGTGACAGAGGGAAGTTTTTCACTGTAGCGTTTTTCATAGTAGAAGTTTTTCACAGTAGGGTTTTTCACAGTAGAAGTTTTTCACTTATATGTTTTGGATTTGTGCTGGAAGAAGTATCCGTAACTCATGGGTATTTTAGTTACTGCTGGCTTTTGACACTTCTCTGAAATCCTCATGGAGAAGCTGCCTAAGTGTGTCAGGAGAAGCTGAAAGACAGGTGGACTGAAAACTGGCTGAACTGCCACACCCCAAAGGTGGCAGAATGTCCCAGGGGACAAGAAGCTGAACATGAGGACAACAATCCTGGACTGCATGACGCTAAACATTGCCCCCAGGTCACAAGAGGTGATCCCACCACTCCACTCAGCACTGTTAGGGCCATTCCTGCGTCCAGCTCTAGGCTCCCCAGTAGTAAAAAACACATGGGCTACTGGAGAGAGAGAAGCAAAGGGACACAAAGATGATGATGGGTCTGGATCATCCTACACATAAAGAGAGACGGAGAAAGTTAAGACTGTTAAGTCTGGAGAAGGCTCGGGGGATCTTATCAATGTATATAAATACCTGAAGGGATGATACAAAAAGAGCAGAGTCAGGCTCTGGAATGGGCTGCCCAGGGAGGTGGTGGAATCACTGTCCCTGGAGGTGTTTGAAGGAAGACTGGATGTGGCACTCAGTTTCGTTGATAAGCTGGTGTTAGGTCATAGGCTGGACTTGATAATCTCCAAGGTCTTTGCTGACTTAGCTGACTCTGTAATTGTTTTCACCAAGTCCTAATACACTAGGTATGAATTCTGAGGCTACTTGGGTTTTCTCAAAATGTTTCCACATAAAGTACTAAAAAAGATCTTACAAAGCAAACGACAGTGGAGTGCTGCATATTTATCACAGGTGAGCCCTTCCAAAGGACCCACTGCATACAGCTCACTACACTACACATGCTGTTTCCCAATATTTATTCTGGATACAATCTTTTATTGCCAGTTTCAAACACATGAAATGCCAAATGTCAAAACCAATAGTAATCAAACCCACAATTTGTATCAACAAAACTTTAACTAGGGACACCTTATGCACCAAAAATTGGTAACATTTCCATCTGCAC